TGTCGCTCAAATGTAAGCCTCCAAGCACATTCATGCATGTCCTAGTAAGACAGCGCACAGGTCTCCAACGCTGCGCGTGCACCTAGGAGCCAGATGGCGCGTGCAGAGCGCGCGTGCACCTAGGCGGCGCCCGCCATGACATGGGGACTTGTCAGAGAGCCGTCGTGATATCCTCGACAAGGATGAATGTACAGGCTGCACCTGTCCGACGCGCCAACCCGGTGTTCATGACGGTCGCCAACAGAAAGCGCGCAGAATCTGATGCCCAACGATAAAGAATTAGCGGCTGCCCTTCCTCCTCACTGCTCCAAGAATAATCCGAGATATTCTAAGAACGCATATGTCGAAATACGGAGCTGACTGCTGCGGAGATTGCACTTCGAGAGATGTTGCGCTGTTGAAACAAGTCAGATGAGATAGAGACAAGGGGACAGAGGCGGCAGGTTGTTCCTCGCGTTTGCTGCAGTGGTGGCGAGGGGCCGTGCCGGCGAAATTTCAAGATGATGGGATCTGTAGTGGCTCATGTGTCATGACATGACAAAGACCTTGGCTGGGCTGCTGCTCGAGAACAACAATCGTAGTGGACATCGGCATTCCTGAGAGCGACACCGTGCGAACCTGAGCAAAGCCATGACTGGAAATTACCATCCAACAGAAGCAACATGCAGGAGCTCCGATTCAAAGCATAGGCCGAAACAGAAGGACTGCCAGGGTTGGTCTCGGCCTCAGCATGAAAGTACCACGAAGCTCGGAGCATGCCGTCTCAAGGTGAAGGTGGCAGTCATTATCGGTGGTAAGGCAGACACCAACATTCGATCCACACTCTCTGCAGTTAATGCCTGGCCAACATCTAGCGGTCGACCGAAAGCTCTCAGCAAGCAGCCAAGCTGCACTAGAAGCAGCACTCAGTACCTGTTTCTCCAAGTGTCCAGCCAGCCGATCATGTAGCAGACTGTACATAACAAGTCAATGCTTCCAACATGCGGGGCAACCCTGCGCAGCACAGACAACCGACCTTCGGTGGCTCCAGGTGCTTCAGGGAAGAACACTTCAAAGAATTCTACTGCAGATGCTGCAAATGTTGCACGGCAAGCCGTGCCCAAAAATCTATCACCACGCAATGCGGTGACTTGCCCGACATGCAGCTGCTAGCGCCGGCCCTGCTGAGCGGGGATAGATTCAAACATGGTGGCTGGCTTGAGCTTCGCCTGGCCACCGGCAAGAGCGCTCGAGCAACGTCTACTTTGATCGTGGAACGGCCCTATACGGCCCCTCATTAAAACCCTGAATGCCGACGAACCCCTTACTCCATGTGGCCATGGCTTGAATCTCATGCAAACAAAAGCCAGCATCCTGGCTCTGCAAAGCTTCAGGACATGATACGACATGGAATGAAACTTGCGTGGCCCATCAATTGATGGCAGGCCTCAAATTACCAAATCGGATGGCAGCATTCGTGAAGATGCCGGTGAGCTGGCCGCAGGTGGTTTGATCCAGCCGTGTTCCCGCAAGACCAAGGCAGAAGCTTCATGCGGAGAACAACCCCAGTATGGAGCTCAAGGAGTGAAGGCCCTGGAGTGTCATCACGATTGTGTGTATAATGTGTAAAACAACTCGCACATGCCGTTTGATGCAACACCTGCATACATGGATAGGTGAAACTTGGGGCACAGCTCGTTTTGAAAACCTGCAGAAACACACCTGCTAGCTTAGCAAAACTCCAACCCGCAGGCACCTGGGCAGCTTGCGAAGTGTTCTTCAGCTGCCCCCACAGCTCGAGGTCGTTTGGCCTTTTTTACCGTTTTCATCGTGATTTAGTTTTGCGAATTCAGCTCAACTTGGACCCTCCACGTTGCGAGGTCAAACCCAACGGATTGTTTTTGGTTCCCGCATGGCGACTCCCGAAGGCTTCACATGGCAGGTGTACAAGACGAGACTACGCCACAAGTCAGACTCCACCACAACCCTCCCAACCAAGTGCATGTCAATTGCCATGGACAGAATGAAACAAGAATCAGAAGCATCTTCGCGGCCTCGAACGTCGACAATTTTCCAGCCGATAGTCGTGCTCTGGTCGTGCTGAGCGCATCCTGCATTATAACAATAACACCTTTGCGATTTAGCTCAAGTAGACTAAAGTGACTAAAGCAGCAGCTCGAAGTGTTCCTTTACCAAACATCCCCGACAGCGGCATCCTCCAATCTGGGAATGAACTTCGTGCTGGTAGAATGGATGTGACAAGGGCAAATGCTGCAGCATCCAAGTGCATGAGCCACGCGAAAAACATGAAGGCGTCGATTGTTCAAGGACCACAGAATGCCATCATGCCACACAACTTGGAGCAGACTGCTTTCAAAATGCTCGGCTGACAAAGCACCAGTCGCGAATTTGTCGATGGTGTTGTCCAGGCTGAGGCCATTTTCAAAAGCCTTAGATCCAATTTAATGCGAAAACATGCGTCCTGGCAAGCCAGGCCCGCAATTCCAGTTTGCAAGCATAAACGGGAAGGAAAAAGTGCCAAGAACCGCCACGAATCATGGCTGATCTCCCCATGAGTAAGTCGCAAAGCTAAAGGGCTCAGCCAACCCAACTGCCGCCAGCCACCGTTGCACTCATCATCCATGCGCGCTCAGGAATTCAGCGACATGAGCCGAAACTCCGATGGCGGGAAGACCCATTGCAATCGACGAGCTTATCGAGGCGACGAACCTGCCTTCGATGCTATGTCATCCGTTGTACCTGCAATCCGAAACAGCCCAACAAACAAGAATAGCCTTGCAATGACATGCTGAGCAGATTGGGTCCGGACGACATGCTCTATACTTCAGGTATAAACCTGCCACTGCTGTCCGAAGAAGCAAACTCAACGGAGACGTTTACTGTACGCCGCACAGCTCCAAACCAGATGCCGGACCTCCAGTGGCGGTGTGGTCGGTCAGTTTTTTGCCCGTCTGGAAACCACGCAGAGTCTTCCATGCTCATGCAAATGCCAGTTGCAGCTGTCGTAAGCCCATCTCCTTGTGCAAAGGGCCCAACGCGACCTGCAATCACTGTAGTCGCACGAACCAGTCATGCCTTGCGTTGCACAGGGACGCCTGCAAAGCATTGCGCTGAAGTTGTTCTTCGGCATTGACACCTGGTGGTCAATGTGCCGAACAAACCATCCAATTCCACTCTAGTGCCCTTTGCACAAGCCGTCGACGATTCGCTTTGCCGGCATCATCTTCTTTCAAAATCTCTTGCAAGAAGTCCTGGGGAGCAACAGCATGTCGATCAAAATGACGAAGCCCCGTTCGACGGAATGACCTCAACTTCAGCCGTCAACCTCGGATTAACAGATGACCAGGCACACGAACGAAGATCACCAACAAAGGCTTGAGTGCAGCTTCGTGCCACCAAGGCGCGCAGTGTTTGGCCTCAACAACCGTCCGTCCATGTCGTATGCAACTCACACAATCACGTGGTACATGACACATCATGGAGGACCGCGCCTGGACTGTGATTGTGGCCTGCGCCCTGCAGCTCGGAAACCTGGCGCCAGAAGGTAACTTTGATGCTTTCGGCATGGCACACCAAACTCTGCCAGGCACACTCCTGGGCTTCTGCCACCACGCCATAGCTTAGCAGGGAACACATGTCTTCGGTGTGCGAGCCACAAAGCAGCTGCAAACAACACAAAAGCCGACGACAAGACTAACATTGCGCAACACAGGAATGACACATTTCGGTGCAACCGCTCTTACGCAAACATGAATCAAAGAGACCCCTGCATGCGTCCTACCTTGTCGGCTCTGACTGAAAGTCCGCAAACGTCGCATGTGAACTCAGTAGAAAACTGCGACGAAGAAATGAGCACGTTTTCCTTTCCAATGCTTCTTTGGCATCGCTCTGCGGCTCTAGGGATCATTGGCTGGTCGACGTAGGCTTGGTGGGGCAAGCCAGTGTGGAACATGGTTTGGAACGCTTTGTTCCAACCAAATTGTCGAAAAGCCGGTCGCTGTCCGATTGCCAGGATATCTGTCTCCATCACAAACCTTTTTGGGCACTGCTCTTGACAGAACGCCTGACCGGCTTTTCCTCTGGACAGGAAGGCCGCGAACCGAACCGCAAACCGGAACCGAACCGCCAGGAACCGTCCAGCCCTGTGAACCGCGCGAACCGCTGAACCGACACCCGACATCGAACCGCGCGAACCGAACCGCAGCCAAGCGCCTGCCCTCCATCCAAAACGACCCCATCCAGCCAGGCACCCTCCATCCAACCCCCTCCATCCAAGCGCCTGCCCTCCATCCAAAACGACCCCATCCAGCCAGGCACCCTCAATCCAACCCCCTCCACCCAAGCGCCTGCCCTCCATCCAAAACGACCGCATCTAGCCAGGCACCCTCCATCCAACCCCCTCCATCCAAGCGCCTGCCCTCCATCCAAAACGACCCCATCCAGCCAGGCACCATCAATCCAACCCCCTCCACCCAAGCGCCTGCCCTCCATCCAAAACGACCCCATCTAGCCAGGCACCCTCCATCCAACCCCCTCCATCCAAGCGCCTGCCCTCCATCCAAAACGACCCCATCCAGCCAGGCACCCTCAATCCAACCCCCTCCATCCAAGCGCCTGCCCTCCATCTAAAACGACCCCTCCATCCACTCATATGCGTCCAGCCAGCACCCTCCACCCCCTCGGGCTGGGGCGGATGGAGGGCCGCTGGGATGTGGATGGAGGGGCTGCGGGTGGTGGGAGCACAAGGTGGATGGAGGCTGGATGGAGGGGCTGGTGTGGTGGGAGTGGAGGAGGTGGTGGATGGATGGAAGCTGGATGGAAGCTGGATGGAAGCTGGATGGAGGGGCTGGGAGGGCTGGTGGTGGAGGGCGTGGATGGAGGGGGGTTGGTGGATGGAGAGTTGTTGGATGGAGGGGGTGTGGGGCATGTGGATAAAAGACTGGATGGTTGGATTCGGGCTGGGCTTTTGGGAGGGCTGCGGCTGGAGGGCTGGTGGACGGAGGGTTGGATGGAGGGGTCTGGAATGGATGGAGGGATGGGTTTTCTGAACCGAACCGAACCGAACCGCAAGAAGAACCGCACTGAACCGCGCGAACCGAAACCGATTCAAAACCCATCCGAGAAACCGAAACGAAACGCGGCTTTACTGTCTGGAGCCAACTTCCATGCTCCAAATGATTTGAAACAAGATTCAACCATTGGGCCTACAAGGTCCACGACAAAGCTTGTCAGCGATTTGAGTTGACCACACAAGCACAAACTCGCCACGTTGTCGACACGGCTGGTTAGATGTTGCAGCTCTGACAGTCCTCGCCGCAGCACACTAAGTTGAGTCACTTCAGAACATGCTTCAGAACGGTCTCCCCGCGACATCAAAGTGCCAGCACAACCTGCACAATTCCCAAGCAGCTGACACAATGGCAACCTTCCATGCAAGAACCGAAAGCCGAATAGTCTTTGAAGAGCCACTTTCAAGCTTTCAAGGCGGATAGTCGCATGCCACATAGCTGATCATTGGACCTGGTGTACATAATGATCGAAACGATGATGCACCAAACAATGTTTGACAGTGCAAGTTGCGTGCAAAGTTGACACTTTGACAATCCCCGAAAGCTGCGCCGATGCTGCCGTTCGTCAAGGCGCCCTCTACAGGCAAACCACCATGCTTGGTCCCATGCTATGCCTGCAGCGATTTTGGTGGTTTACATGATACGTGGTGAGATGCCTCCGCCAGGCCATGCAAAGAACGTGACACTGTTCTGTGCAGTCTCTTCGAATCTTTTCTTCTAGGGTCAGGTAGGTGTGTTCGACAACTCCCCACAAAAAGGAAGACCCATCAAGACAGCGCAGCAATGCATGAACACTTTTCATGCAGCTTCTTCTTCCCTCCTCCCTGGTTCTTTTACGGATGCACATCCAGCAACTTGAGAGTGGAGTGGACACAAGTACAAGGACCGAAAGGCAGTGGTGTGTTGCAAATGCGAGCTGATGCTGGTAAGAGAAAGTGAAACATGCAGTGCCCTTGTATGCTGTTGCGAAATTGTAAGCAAGCGACTTTCCAATCAAACTGCATGCAGAAGTTGAGTTCGCATGCCTTGTCATTCAACTCAAGCCTGCACTGGTCGACACATGGCAAAGCTTGTTCCAACTCTGGAAGGTTTGTGTGCCCTCCTACAAACTCGTCGATGCGGCTGCTTGCCAACAAGTTTTTGCCAGGCGGGAAAAGAGGCCTCTGGTGAGTGCAAGAAGAGCAATGCTGCTGCCTTCAGTTGCGGATGCACGCGGCGATGTTGCCAAATCTTCGCCCTCATGGCCAGGGCCGCCTTTTGTCGCTAATCATTGGTGGCGGCTTCCCGGCCGTCAGGTTCACAGCCACAAGAAAAATCTAGCCACACAAGGGTGGCTAGACAAAGCTAGGTGAAGCTAGAGAAAGCTGGATAATTGTTTTGTTCATGTGCCAAGGATCTGTGGCTTTGAAAGGATGAAAAGGTAGGTCTGGAAACACAATAGACCGCAAAAGTGCTGGGCTTTCAGGCCTCAAGAATGGAAAGTTAAACCCTAACCCATGTGCCCCACCATGCAAACACTACGCCGTCCTAGATCGACAATGCTAGACAATGCTAGATAATGCTAGATTCCGGCGAGGTCCCGGAGGACGAGGATGCTAGAAAATGCTGGAGAATGCTAGACAATCTTAGATAATGCTAGATTCTGGCCACTGCCTGACGACAATGCTAGAAAACGGTCGGTTCCGGCCAAGTCCCGGAGGACCAGGGATGCTAGAAAGAGCTAGACACTGCTAGATTCACAGCGTTTGCCCAGGATGTTTTTCTTTCTCAGGCTGGGCATTTTGAGTCGAAAGCGCGCAGACAATCATGTCCACAGATGGAACGTGCAGTTCCCAAGTTCAGCAGGTTGGTTTCCAAGTGAAGGATAGCTCTCACGTTGTTTCGCGTTCTCCCAGCGGCGTGAGCCTGCCTCGGTGAATCGATGCCTCCGGAGACTCCGGCCTCGGAAATGCAAAGGAGGAGAAGCCGCAGCCACACGTTCGCTTTGCCACTGCCTCGCCTCGCTGGTGCCAAGCAGGATGCGGTTTCCAGGTTCCAGCACCTGCATTTCGTCACGCTGCAGGCTCCTCCGGCAAAGCAAAGCTGGCTGCTTGACTTGAATCCAATGAAGTTGAATTCGTTGAACTATCACCGAGATGGAAAAATCGCATGTATACTTAATTAGTTCGAAGGAGGCGTTATACATCGAAGGCCACAGCCCCTGACCGGGACGATTCTCACAATAATGTCGTCCCGCAGAGATACTGCAAATACACGGTTTTGCTCTGTGCAGTCCTTGTCCCCGAGGCCTCCCCTCTGTCCAGCCAGATCCGATTTTGAGATAAGGCCAATAAGAAGAAGCACTGGTCTTCGAAAGCAATTGCGAAGTGGTTACCTCGCTGGAAAACTCCGAGTTGGTCCATTCGATGATGAGAATGCAAACCAAGCCCCGCTCGACTCACAAAGTCGATGTACTCTTCCTTCACGACCGCTTGCCTTGGAATCGTGCGCATCAGGTACAGGACTCGCCTTGTTTTCCCTTTTCTAGTGATTCTAGCGTTTCAAGCGCATCCTTGGGAACATGCTCAAGCACTTCCGTTCCAAGCCGGATCCCAAGCCAATACGTGTGCAAAACGAGTCAGTCAAACCTTCCTAGGCTCACGAGGGCTGGGCAGACCAACCCTCGCCCAACTAGTTTTTGCTTCCCTATCACGACCATCGAGCTTCTGGTCACCATCGATTCCGTGGACATGTCAAGACACAACTTAAGGATCCACTCCCCAGCCTCTCCCAAAGCAGCTGTTGATTTTTCTGAAACGTCTCTCGCCGAGAAGCAAGAACTCCCGCTGATGCCGCCGGCCCATAATCCAGGGTCCTTTCCTGTAGCCAAGCTTGCGCACATTCATCGCACTCTACATGTAAATACAGAATTTGTGAAGTTTCGAAAACACTTTGAACACCTGAAATTGACACAACACTGCCTGATCATGTCGAACCACTCCTATTGGCATTTCTTCAACATCAAACTGGTGCAAGCTGTTTGCGCAGGATGAGCTGGACCTGAGGTCTTGGATCGCTCAGAAACCGCACTATCACGTCGTTGCATCACTGATACATGTTTCCCGCCTTAGGGTCACTGGACCCAGCCGTCGTTTCTCCGCTGGCAAGTCCTACCGCGACATTCACAGCCCGATGTTGTCAGGGCTCCGGGCTGCCATGATGACAGTTGAAGTAAAAGTCCTTCGTGCCGACGCCAGTGAGCACCAGAACCACAGCAGGAGACAAGCTTTCCGAGTCCTTTCACAGATCCCCTACTGTAGTATGCATCACCAGAGCCATGGACGGTCTAGTCAGTGGGCTAGCGCAACCCCACGCAATCAATCAAGTGAGTAGCCAGACATAGCTAGACTAAACAAGGCATACGGCACGTACATTGTACATCAGCCTCGATGGTCCTCGGTTGACTTGGGGCCAACAGGCATGACCTTGCTGGCTTGGCTGCCGGGTAGCGGCGGTCCTGCAGGGAGGGGCTTCATGTGAATTCCACAAGGCGCCACTACCTTAACGCTTGTGGTCTCGACATGCCCTGCCATGCTCTGGCTTCCTCGATCAACATGCAAACGCAAAACTCAGTCACTCGACTGGGCCCAATCGAGGATCACTGCAGCTTCCATCAGGGTACTAGTAGGTTGTGAAAAGGCTGGCCTTGCCTCTGCATTGTGGAGGAGACCTAGCAAACAAACTCAACTCCGAGTTTCCCACACGGATTGTGGAACCGTCTGAACTCATGACAAAATCTGCCAGAGACGAGCACGAAAAAACTCCCCGGAGACCGCTACCCGAATTTTAAGTCAGCTCAGCCAAGTCACTCAGCAGGTTGCGGCGAGCATGGTGAGCCACCTTGGTGCTGAATTCGCAACTCCCACTCTGTGAGGAATGCTATTCATGTGTTGATGAAGTGTTGATGAAGTGCGTGCAGGGGCAGCATCTCTGTACACAAATCCCTGGACCCACTGCAGGCCATACCATGCTTCTTACTTTGTGTAGCAATACACCACGTACCCTGCAATGGTCGGTGCACAGGTTTTCAAGATAAGATGTGGACAACGATGGTAAAGCACGTAAGCAGCGCGCCGTGTCTTTGCAGGCCTCGCTTTAGTTGCCTCAGTGGCAAGCTCTGACGCTTCCTTACCTTTGCTAAAGCGGGCAAGGCTCGCACAGCAAGCTTTTGGCCATGAAAAACTGCCGAAGTTGGTCGACTGGGTGAAACACGAACTCTGAACTACGAAGATGGGCGATGCCTCGCTCAAAGCAGCAGATCGTCGTCGGCAGATGTGGCAAGTGGCCGACTTGCAACGCTTGTGCCACCCAGGAGGTCCTGTCGAAGCGGCAACGACGAGTTACGAGATCGCACGAGGCTCCCACTCTTGTTTCACTAGTATCGATGTTTATGATGGCAGCTGTGTGCGATGTGCCAGTCAGGCTTGTGGCGCGTGTAGCGAATGCTACAAACTAGGCATGCGCCCACTCCAACCTGACAGAAGCCGGACTGTGGCATTCTGCTACCCTACGGCTTGAAGACTTTCAACTCTGGCAGAGTTTGGGCATCGATCCGCGAGTCCTCCTCGTCGGACTCTAATTCTAGCGCGACCGGCTTCTCTGGCATGGCACTCGCTGCTTGTAGCAAGTCCTGTGGGGGCGACGTGAGGTCAGGTGTCTTGGCACCATCTTTGCAAATATTTGCCGCAACACAATTTTGGGGTGCAGCTCCCGCTGCTGCCTGTGGCTCAGCGGGACTGGCAGGTAGTCGCTGTCCGGCACCGGGCGCATCCTGCCGGTGCCACATTGCAAAACCAATCAGCAAGGTGAGTAATGCCCTCGTCCAGTCAGAAAGATCCTGGTCAAAAGTGGGAATCGCCGTGCTGGGGCCTAACACATCCTGGCACAACACTTGACCGACTGTGGCGTGTACTGAAATTGCTTGAAACATACTAAGAGTGCCTCCAGGTCCATGTTGTCCACAGGCCGAGAGCACACATCAGGGCCACCGAGCAAATCCTCGAAGCACAACAACATTCAGCAACCCAGCGCTACAACACCGTAGTTGAGTCTCCTCTGCATCAAGCTGTATGGCGTGTACCCGCTCCTCTGCCTCATCAACTTATCAAACATTGTGCCTGGTTGCTGGCAAATGAAACAAAGCACCAGTTAGCTGCCTCAGGCATGGTCAAACCTTTGCTGCAAGAAGCTTCCCCAAGACTCTGGACTTCGTCGGCCAGGGTTTGATCTGCCTCCGGCCCACAGGCGGCAGCATCTTGGGCCAGTGGTTCTTGCTTTGCAGCACCGTCTGCCTCCTTGGATGGCAGATTCTGATCCGCTTTCTGTGCCGCTTCCTCTGCTTCTCTGGCCAAGCGCTCTTCTTCCGCTTTGCGCGCTGCTTCCTCCGCCTCTCTGGCCAAGCG